AATTATTATTATTATTAGTACTCTCTGTTCCCATTTAGAAAAGTGCACATTAACGTTGGGTTGACCGCATTCACTTTTCAAAGACCCTATAATCCTTCTAACTCGTCCCGCTACAGCAACGACGCAGGGACATTAACTAATTGTCCACTCCCTTTAACTGTCCACTCCCCCATCAGCCTCTTATAAGAATAATCTATAATCCATAATCTATAATCAATAGACACCTTATCTGCGCATGTCTCAGACTTGCTTACGATTACATATGACTAAGGATTCCCAACGAAATCCGAAACGTCAGGACAATAAAACTCTTGTTCCAGTGATCGCTTCTTCTCCTTCTGAATCTATAATTCATCGATCTCCGAACAGTCAGTGTTGATCAGCCAAACTTTCGACTAATCCAATGGGCCTAATCTTCAGTTCTTTCCTTCCCCGCCTAAGAATGGAAGATATACAAGGAATACTGCCGAATACCTTTTTAAACTTGTCATTCTGTTTGGTTCCCTTCAGGCCAAGGAAACGTACCAGGAAGCTGTGGATGCCGGCCATACAGCTTTCTATATGGAGGAAGACGAATTCATGGGTGACACCTTTGCGATGAAAGTCGGAAATATTCCCCCGACGGAGACGGCAGTTATAAAATTGCGCTACTTCTGCCAGCTTCAAGCGCGGGACGTTACTGATGACTCCGGTGACCGCACGGTGGCTATTTTCGTGCTTCCTTCTGTCCTCAATCCACGTTATACGCCACCAAGTAAGAGGACCGCCTTTCCGCAGGCAATGTTATTACTTATTATTAACTAAATCCCTTTCAGTGTTGGTCGTAAAATAACCATCGTTCGTTTATGTAAAGCCAACTTGAAGACTTCTTGAATTACTCTAATGCAATTTGAGCAAGGTTATGGTTTGTCCTAACGAATGTGTGTCGTTGTAGTAAACGATATGTAGGTGCCAATCTGAGGTAAATTTATATTAGGGATTAGTGGCTTGCGCTTCGTAAGTTAGTTTTGCCTTAGCTTGTCTTGTTATTATTTTGTCTAGCTTCTGAAACCGATCGGCAGTTTGGCCCTCCAAGTGCGATCCCACTGTGCAAGGTGAACGTACCCTATACATTTTCATTCTCAGCAAGTCTGACTTCTCAATGTGCAATAATGGGGGTAACATCTGCGAAGGACGTCTTTCAATTGCACTATCAAGGAGAAGAAAAAAAGGCGGCAAAGGTAAATATAATGCATTTGAAGGCCAACAATGTTTTTAGGAATTTGCTTTCTTGTAAATGTCCTGTGATTTTAAGCAAAGATAATGGGGATATATATTTTTATTTAAAGTTATTCACTTAGACTTAGACTTTAGACTTAACACTTACTTA